GCAAATGGATGGAAATGGAGACTATCATGCTAAGTGAACTGAGCCAGTCCTAAGAAACTGAAGGTCTAATGTTTTCTCTGAAATGTGGAGGTTAACCCACAATAAGGGCAAGAGAGTGGGATATAAGTGCAGTTCATTAGACAATGGAGAATGGAGAGAAGGGAATGGGGAATAAGGAAAGAGTAGAATGAGTCTGACATAGTTTTCCCATGTATGTACCTGAAAACAACACAGTGAATCCCATCACGAGGTACATCTATAATTATATCAAAATGGGTTCTGCTGTCATATATAACTAAAAAGAACAAATTAAAAAGATTAAATAAAAGAAAAGAATATTAAAAAAGAAGAGGAAACAAAAAAATATGAATGATATGATGCTAAGGATTTGTTTTAAAGTAATCCTGTGGAGGAATGTGGATGAAACAAGGGTGGCAATAATGGCCTTATCTGATAAATGGGTACACTGGGGTTTGTTATAGTAAATAAATATGTTAGGTTTAGTATATATACAATAAATAAACATTTATTATAGTATTCACTCTAAAAAAAAAAAGAAGTCTGGCACAAAGAACTTATTCCATTGTGTTTTATGCACTTCTTTTGAGTTGAGTCCTCCTTCTTTGTCATTTGTTGAATTCCCAGTTTCTCTAAATTATCTTCCTTGGAGTTCACCACTAAACTTTTCCTAATCTAACTCTTCCAGGTTTCTCTGACTTCTTTATTAAAATTGACTCATGCCGATGCAATTTTTATCAGTGCATTCTTTCTGTGATTTACAAAGCTTACCAAAAACAAATAAACAAAAAACAACTCTTGACTCAGATTCTAGAACTTGTAGGAACTATTGTGAGAAACATAAAAGTCCAGTGGTCCATTTTCAGAACATAGTATTTAGCCTTAATTGGGATGTAATCAAATTGTAGCCATTTTAACAATAGCCCTTTCCTTTGCTGGTCCCAATTTTAAAATTAGTTAATCATCTGAGCTTCTTCTATTAGAGCTAGGGGCAGTACAGAGGAAGGGATGAAAGCAGGCAGACAGCCCACCCAGGTGCTCTTGCATGCCCGATTTTCTTTGGTAGTATACTCTTCTGCAGAAATAAAGTCTGCCTTGCCATGCTACTTCTGAGTATGTTTTTGATTCCTTGAGGCATGCCAATATTTCTAACACTATGAAGGTCATCTAATTTAGTACTTTCCAAAGTAGGATACACTGGAAACTTTATTCATTTAGTTAAAGAGAAAATATATTAAAATTGGTTTTTATACTATAAGAAATGAGATGACTACTAGATGAATGGATTAAAATAGTATGTAAACATGATTTAAAATAAATATATATTAGAGGATACATAATTAAAAAATAACTAAAATAAAAGCATAATCAAAAATGTTCGGAGACCTATGATGTCATGTACTCCTCTTGCTTTACAGAGGAGGGAAGGGACCCAGAGAAGAGGAACAATTCACCCAAGATCTCAACTGAGAGTGGAAGAACCTGGCTCTCAGTCAATGTGACATGACTTCCGGGAGGTTATATGAATCCACTGGATCCCAGTTTTCTCCTCTTTAAGGAGGAAATAATAAGCCTATTAAATAGGATTGTTATGAGTATTAAGTTAAATGGGAGCATATTTTAAAATTCTTCTATATTAAGAGGGCTTGGCACAATGGCTCAATTAGTGTTATTTCTGCTTCACTCATGCCTCAGAGTCAATATCTTTCCACCGAATGATATGTCTTTCAAAAACTGGACACAGATGTAGTGGTGCATGTCTGTAATCCCAGTAGCTCGGGAGGTTGAGGCAGGAGGATCTCGAGTTCAAAGCTCAGCTTCAGCAATAGCAAGGTGCTAAGGCAAGTCAGTGAGACCTTGTCTCTAAATAAACTACAAAATAGGGCTGGTGATGTGGTTCAGTGGCCAAGTGCCCCTGAATTCAATCTCCATACCAAAAAAAAAAGAAAAACTGGAATAAATAGTACTGTACTATTTGGTGTGAACAAAGTGACGTGTTACTAGGTAAGATTTTTGCAATTTAGAACAGCTTTTAAAGGATACAGACTTAAGAATAAAACAAACTCAAATGTCAATGTCACAGTACAGTGGTACCTGAGACATGTAGGGGTGAGGGACTTCTTTGCCACTCTCCCCGCAATCAGTACTAGTGGGTCAAGATTACAGTCAGTCCCACCATTCTCTATTACAGAAATTTAGGGGCAGTGATCTATTTAAAAAGAAAAAAGCAGGGACTTTTCCTAAAGATACTGTTTACTTTGATGCATGTTTATTTGGAGTAATATTTTTAAAGGGGTATTTCTGTTACACTCCCCACATCATCACTGGTTACTGCCACTGATTGTCATATGCATCTGCATTCCTAGCCCTGTAGTCTTTCCATTTCTTCTCAAAAGCCTATGCAAACAATAATAAATCTCCTTTCATATTCATGTGTTCTCTAAATAGCCACTATACCATGTGAACGGTTTGCTTTCAACTTAATAAGTCTTCCCATCCCTAAATCAAAACTAATTAGCTTTGTTTTTCAAATTGCTGACACTGAGGGTCTTCACTATAACAAACCTGTGTGTGATTAGTGATATAACGGCTGGTGCTGAGCTTGGGCAAATATTTATAGAGTAATCATATTGGATAGGGTTGAATAACCTCTTGGATTAAGCGTGAGCCTCTGCCAGGCAATGCTGCAAAATTGTGCTAATTTAATGGTACAGTCCATTGTTCCGTCTGCTGATACAACCTCTGTAGACACTGATACAAATATAATCAGGGATATTAGGGCACAGTATGGCTCCTTTATTGGCACTCCTGGCAGCAATGCGCCAGAAGAATCCAAATATCACTTTGTAAATATAAATTATGTGATAGGTAAATGGAAGCTCATACAGGGAGAAGATCAAATATACACACAGGGATGAGCCTAAAGTAAGTAGTCGCTGGATAAATAGTTGTTAGGTTATTAGTATATTAGATATGAGAGGAACCATTTTGCTTTTATTTACTTTCAGGAACAGTAAACAGATTTTAATTAGGCAAGTCAGTTTTAGTGTTAAGGAAGAAATTCTTCTATATAAAGCTGTATTGATATTAGCTCCGGCTTCTGACAGAAATACTCCAAATAAATCTGAAAATATACAGTTAATTCTTCATTCTTGTTCTGTTGGTTTTTTCATTGCTGGAGACCTAACTCCTGTCTTGCACAGGACAAGCAAAGCTCTCTACCATTGAGCCATATCCCCAGCCCCAGCTGATTCTTCATATTTAGTTTTTAACCTGTAATCTGAAAGGAGACTCAGACCTTGGGGAGGAAGAGATGAAGGCCAAAGTTTTTCCAGATGATGCAGTTAAGCAATGGCCGAATGGAGACTCGAAATCCCATTTTTCACACAGCCAGCCCTGCACTTTCTCAATCAGGGTTTAGAGATCTATAAAAGTAAAATATCTAAAAGTATAACATTGATATATTAATAACTTTAAGAACCTGGGTCATTTCCTTACAAGTAGTCCTTACCTGTATTGTTATACAATTTCTAATTTAATAAAGTTTATGTATTTGATATGTTTAGATAAAAAAGACCTTGAGCTTTTTATTTGCATTGATTAGTTGCAATTGCACCATTTTTTTAAGAGCAGCTTAGCTATCTTCCTTAGACACTCCAACCAGTTAGCTATATTTAGATGTGAGGAGGAGGCAGAGTAATTCTTAAAGAGTTTTATGTTTCTTACAACTGACTTGACTGACAGTCCTTAAGTGCTATTTCTTTCAAAGCAAATATGACTCACAGCCCTTAGGTACAGTGTGTGCACGGGCTAGAAATATTGATCGGTCCACATCCTAGAAACATTGAAACACAATAAAAAAGAATTTTAATCTAATTCTGAATAATGCAATAGCAAAAACATGAAAAGTACACAATTGACAATGGTAATGTACCTGTAATATTTTATGTCAAGGTTTTAATTTAAACTCCAGAAACAGAAACTGTCTTTCCAGTGCAAACTCACCTTCTTCAGTTTTGCTGTGACAGTTCTGAGAACAGAAGATGCCTAAGAAACTTATTTAAAGATATAAATAAATATGCATTAGTTAAGTCATGGAGTACAAGTTAACCACTTTGTAACTCCAGGTACTAGCTCAAAATTTAGAAATGAAAGCAACCAGGAGGCAAGTTTGGTAGGACTTCCTTTTGGAATTTACTGATAATGGAATGCAATGTTCCTCATTATACCAACACTGGCCACAGTATATGGAAAAAGAGGCAAGTTGCAGAAGGCAGTCTGTAACTCCCAGTAGATAGACGCCCCCTCTCTTGTGCTTGGAACTACTAGGAAGCCCCTTTTTCTATTGCTCCTGGCCAGCCCTCTTTCTGCAATTATTTCTGGTTCCCACAGGAGGAGGCAGAGAATAATCAATACTGCTGTGGGTTACAAAACAAGAGTTTCTAGATTTGAGCTCTGGTGGCTCTCAGAGCCCCCTAGAGGTGCCAGGAGCTGGATTCTTCCACCTTCCAGCAGTAGTTCAAAATGCTGTCACCACCTTAAAAGTAGTATTTTCCATTTTTTTTCCCCAAAAAGTTTAGTTTTCTACAATTAGCTCTGTTACCATTTAATAAATGTATAAAATCCTTTCCTAGGGCCATGCAGATACACTTCTACATGATTACATTACAGGGGAGCAGATGTCAATGGATGAGAAAGACATGGACTGCCGGCAGAAAGAGCTGGGGAGTGGGAAGGATGAGACTGACATGTCACCCCAGGGCTTTTTCCATGGCTGCTGAGTTCTATTTCCCCAGCCTGCCCCCTGTAAATCATTGCCTTAGTCTCTCACCCACACCTTTCCCAGTATCTCTCTATAGAGTTTGCTTGGTTTCCCCTGTGTAGATCAGAATATTGATTAGAAAAATGTCTGCTTAGCCTTCCTCTGTAGGCTAAGACTTGCCCCATATGGTGAAATCAGACCAGTTCATAGTCACAGGTAATTTAAGCATTCATATCTAAGAAATTTTATCTCCGGATTAAATCATTTTTTTTTTTTATCAGGACAGCAAAAGTTCTTTTGAGGCTGGGTTCCTGGTCCCAAGTCATCTCTACTACCTGGGATCTCTTGTGATCATATGAACTGAATGTTGGTGTCCCACCAAAATTTAAACACTGAAATATATTCAGGATGAAAATAATTAGGTCAAGAAGGTAGAGCTCTCATGATGGGATGAGGGTCCTTATAAGAAGAGACATCAGAGATATGACTTCTTGTTTCACCACGTAATAAGAAAGTATCCATCTGCAAACCAGGAAGAGGAACCTGGCCATGAACCAGATTGGCTAGCACCTTGATCTTAGACTTCTCAGCCTCTGAAACTGCAAGAAATAAATGTCTGTTGTTTAAGCCACCCAGTCCATAATATTTATAATAGAACATTAAACTGACCAAGACTTCTAATTTGTGCCCATCCCTACATCTGGTTTCTTGACACCAACTACTGAATATCTATCTGAATACACTCCTCTTTACATCTCTGCCGGTTGTGCCTTCAACATGCCCCCACAATGACTACCTGCTCCTTCTCTGCTTAAGGTGATTTATATCCTATGAGTTTTTTTCTCCCTTTAAGTAATCTTTCAATTTCAGAGTCCCTTTCCGTAATCACGTCAGTGTTTTCCCACAGCTAGATTAATACTCTGGTCAGTATTCTATCTTAGAAGCCCTGGGGGTATCTATGTACTCTTCTTCTGTCTTTCTTTGCTCTGTGTAGCTCTATACCCCAGGTAAAACAAGTGCCATATTGAGTAATAAAAATTATGAATGATAATAGCAGCTTCTACTTGTTGACTACCTGCAAGGTATTAAACACTGTGATTTCAAGCATGATTTTAATATGAACAACAACCTTTTCATTTTTGCAGGGCTGATAGCTGATGGACATATGGGTATCCTAGTTGGTTAAACACACCTCCTCGTGGGTTGGTAAACAGCCACTGAACCCAGTGTTCCAAGTGCCCCTCCGCTGAATCCCCAGTTTCCTAGGCTTTCTTGCCACCACCTGTCCCACTACCCCATGATCTAGCAATTAAAAGCTTGGCAGTACTCTGGCCAGTATTGATTCTGATTGGTTGCTGCTGTGCTATACTCACTGTCAGTTAGTTTTAATGTTAGCTCCTCACTATCAGTATTATACATCCGAGAATTGACATTCAAAGAAGTTTACTTACCCATGGTCACATAATTAGTAAATGATAAAGCAGCCTCTCAAATCCATGTCTGCCCATCTTCAAAGACAGTTCTCTTTCCCCTAGAGTAGATAGTCCATGGACACAGAGAGGTGTTCCCCAAACTTATTGATAGTAAGAGTAAGCATTTTGTCAAAATTACCAATTCCCGAACCCCTCCCTCTGGAGATTCTGATTCAACCCAGCCTAGTTCAAGATTAGAATCAATATTTTCAATAGGGTGAATTCTATGGTTAGACAAACTTTGGAAACACTACCCTAGGGCGTTTTATCTAGCACAGAATTTGAAACAGACTAGAAATACTATAATATCTCCAAATAAACATGTAAAGAATTTATCACAATTTCCACATTGTAAGAGAGATTTTCTAAGCAGAATGGAACATATGTCAGGCGGTAGGCCACTCGCTGGCTGTTTTAGGTGTGATGGTGCAATTCAAAAGTAGAATCACTATTTGACAGGTCTGGAAACATCATTAGTAACAATTGGTGATCAGAATGAAGCACACCTGCAGTCTACAAATAGGTCAAATGAAAAGGACATAGGATGAGGGCTAAAATGAAAGCCATTCCACAAAACCTAGAAAGGAGGCACTGAGTTGGCTAAGAAAATTTTTTTTACTAAAAATGATAACTTTATCTGAATAATACTCATAGATTTGCAGAATAATAACCCCTGAATAAAGGACCTAAATGTATGGTGCTATCTGGGAAGGCCACTAGTTCTTTCTGCCTAGCACGTCACTGCTGGTCTGCAGCAGTGTTTTTTTCTGTTAATGCCTGACAATATGGTCTGACACATAAAGCCTTCTCAGCCACTTCTCTCTCCTGACATTTCCCTCCCATTTCTGATGTTAACAAAGCTAATCATGAAACATAAAAAATGTGTCCAGGAAAAGGCAAGCATCACATAGTAATTACATATAGCAGGTTTATGGTGCAATTCTCTTTCAAATGAAAGGGCTTAGGAAAACAAAAAAATACAAACAAAAACCAGGGAGAAAGAGAGCAAGATAGAGAAGCCATTATCTCTAGACGGGTCTTACAATGGAAACAGACTCATTAAATATTTCTGAGGACAGCAGATAGTCATCTAACTCAACAGAACCTCCTAGATGTTCTTCCTGACATGTAAGTCATCAACGAGCAGGAGAAACCTAGCGTGGAGCTGAAATTTACTACCACAGGACACAGCCCAAGCTGGGTTGGTTCTCTTCCAAGTGACAGACCCTGCCAAAGGCTTAAACACCTGCTGCCGTTATCAGTACACATATTCCCTTAGACAACGGAGAATCAACTCACTGGGTAAACCAATAAGTAAAATAAAGTGCCAAACACACCCTCAACAGAGACTGATAAAATAAAACATTTAAGTAAATTTAGCTGAATACTTCCAAATGGCACACCTGACAATGTAGAGAATGCATAGTAGTGGGAGCCGTAGGGAGAAAAAATGGGAGGCTTTTTCTCCATAATTCTAAAAATTCAAACCCATATCTCTCTGCACCTTGATCATTTACAAATTATATAACTTCCTAACCTGAAATGAAGAAAAATAAAACAGAATACAAAGATAGCAACAATGACAATAGCAAGCCTTAGAATTACTTGGTACAAAGGACTGGGAATAAGGAACACTGTCCTCCCCTGTTTATTTGGATGAAGCCTGAAGCTTTTCTTCATTTACTTGTTAGGTGGCTTTCCGCCCCCTCCCCACACACACACACCTTTCTGGTGCTTAACACATATATGAAAGTCCCTGACTTAAAAGGTAGGGCTTAGCTAATGAGGTGTGTCAACACAATTGGAAGCCCATTTCTAAATGAAAATTGCCCTGTGCTGTGAGCACAATCCCTTCAGGTTGAAGAGAGCATTCATAAAGCAGCAGGGGTAGTTGCCAGTGCTTTCTCTTTGAGAAGGGGCCTGTAGGGTTACCACAGCTGGGGGACAGAGAGGCTGACCTAGAGCTATGGACTAACGTGATAATTCTCCTCAAAATTAGTCATATTTCTCCAGGTTACCTTCCTAGATAGTGAGTAAAGGCAGATATAATCCCTTTCCTAATTGTAAACCAGCACCAGCCTAATTATATTCCCATTTACCCCAGATACTCTAAAATCATAGGCTTTCTGTTTGCTAATTCCTCTTATTCATGGTTTTATGACTCCAGAGGAGGCTTTGGGGAGTAGGAATTGAAAAACAGCACAGTGAGTTAGTTCCACATAGACATTAACTATGAAAAAGTAATGACATGGAGGAAAAAAGAGTGTGGGAAGAAAACAGTCTCGTATTTAGTTTGGACTGATTGCAGTCAAGGCCTTGCTTAGCAAGCACAGAGTCAAACCACAGCTTCAAGAGTACACGGCAGGTGATCGCCACCCAGTCTGCTTTTCTTATCTATTAAATAAAGCCGTCTGCCATAAATTCACTCCCCCTTTGTCTTAGAATGTGTATTATCTTTATCCTAGTTAATATTTAAGATCCATATAATTTTTTAGTGCTTTTATATCAACCTATTCACACTGGCCTAGGGAGAGACCCATGCACTGGAGGTTACTGGGTAATGCTGAAGGTAACCTGGTGTTAGGAGACAGGACGTTAGGACAAAGGGTGAAGATCATGGTGGCAAACAAGTCCGTTCAAGTCCTTTCAGATAGGGTTAATTTCAGGCTCCTGTCACTCATTCTTGCTCCAGATGATGTGTGTGGTTTCTGACCACATTAGGGGAAACAATATGTAATGACATGCTCAGAGAAGGTAGCATGTGGTCATGTGTGTGCGTGTATGCATGTGTGCATGTAGGCGTGTGTGCATGTAGGCGTGTGTGCATGTGTGAGAGAGTAAGAGAGAGATAACAAACTTAATTCTTGATTGAGAATGAATTCTCCTAAGATAGGTTTAAAGGGCTTTTTTTCTTCTGTGACTTTTGGTGTAAGAAAACAATAAATATCATCCACATTATTGCCAAGATCCTACAACCTTTGTTTCTAGCTTTCCCAAGATCACAACTAATAAAGGGGGTTATGGTACCAATATTAGAATTCGATATCACAAAAGGCCAGGCATAGCTCTTAGTCTTTAGTTGGAGAAATATGTCCAAATATGTCCGTAGCTAGCTCACCAGGTCAGTGCCAGCTCGCAAATAGAGGAGGAGCAGGATTTAAAGTTCAACAGGTGCCCAGTGAGCAAGTGCACTGAGAAAGAAAGTTCATGCCTTTCCTGGAAATGTGGACATTTCAGATGGAGATGCTTTGGATCTGATGCCAGAATTTGATCCTCCTCTGCTACCAGTTAGGAATTCAATGGTCAGCTCTTTCACAGGAGGTCCACATTTTACTAAAAACCAACTTCATAAGCAAGCTGAGAACCGGAATGCTGTTCTACTCATTTTTCCTCCACCCTCACAGCCTGGAAGAGCTCTTTGCATAGATTAAGTACTCGAGCAGCATTGCTTGAATTGGTAATAGAGAGCAAATGTAATAATTTTCTATGAAAATTCTTGCTTTAAAGCAGACAGATTGTTTGTATTTTGGTTTTTGTTTCTAGTGCTTCCTTATCCAGGTCATGAAACATTGAGAAATTGAATTTAAATTTGAAAGTTGCTTGGTAAATATGGAATCAGAGAAATGGAAATTGCATGGCCTCAAGAGATGATATTTTCATCAAGCCGTGAGACCTGGTGAGTCATTGCTCTCCACTGAAGGGTTATGTTTGCCAATTTAATCATATATTTGTGTTCCCTTGTCAAGTTACCCTCTTGCTTTTGAAAGCTACTCTTTTTCCTGGAAACACATTCATTCTTACCTTACTTTTTATTTCTACAATTTTAAAAATATATATTATTTGCATTTATCACCACACTCCCCCTTTTTAATCTGCATCATTTTTTTTCTGCCAATCTCTAGTACATTCTCTCAACTAAGTTGTTAATTTTAATGTCTAACTTAGAACTTTTCTTTCTTCCCCTGTTGATGCTCTCAGGACTTGTATATCTCATATACTTAGATACACAACCATCCCAGGAAAGCAATGGATGAAGGGCTAAGTGGACACAAACAGTCTTAGGATATGGTCTTTGTTTTATTTATCTAGTATCCCAGGCCACCCCCATGAGAGTTAGGCAACTCCGGAGTAAGGTGGACAAGTACACAGGCTCTGAACACCTACCACTTGGATCACGCCTGCTCTGACATTTGTGATCTTGAACAACAACTTCTTCAACTCCTTTGGGACTGCTTCTTTATTTACAAAATAAGAATGCTTTTAAAAATTGCCTTTACTTTGGAGAATGGTAGTAAGAATTAAGTGAACTAATATGTTAAATTTCTTTGAATAATCCTTGTCAAACAAAACCCAGTGTTTTTGCTCTTTTTTATACATGACTTTTACAGCTGTTCAATTTCTTATACTTATTTCCCACCCTCCCCCACACCCCCCCTAATTTTCTACAGGCACAGAGACATCTTATGTACTATCATTATGTGAGTGGTCTTTGTCACCTAATTCTCTAACTCTGTTAATCACGGAGGTGTGGATGTGCAATAATTCTTACTTAGACTCATTTATTTATTCAGTAAGTAAATATTTTTGAGTGCCTACTCTGTGTCAGGCTCTGTTAGCAATGGAGATACAAACATAAACAAATAAAAACATGAACAGGAAGATGGCATCTGGCCTCATGAAGCTCACAGAAGAGAGAAGCATATACAGAAACAATGATTTTAAACGGTAGTTAAAAATTGTGATACCATAAGCTAAGTGCCTTCATTTTCTCATTTAATTCCCAAAACAGCCCCATTGGCATTTATTATGATTCTGCCCAATTTTATAGATGTGGTGAAACTAAATCTCAGTAATCTAGCTTTTGCAAGGGGCTGGAGCTGAAGCAGAGAGCACAGCGCTAGGATCGAATCCAGGTCAGTGATACAAGAGGCTCAATACTGAACCACTACAAAGAACTATTCTGTGTTGTACTATGGAGGCATCCCCTAACTCACTCTCTCTGTCTCTGCCTCACTCTCTCTGAAACACACACACACACACACACACACACACACACACACATATACGCATGCACACACAGACACATACATCCACCTCTCCTTACAATCAAATTCTTCCCTCAGGGGGAATATCACTCTCAGTCCCTCCAAAATCACTAATGATC